CATGGTGCGCATCCTCCCATGGCAAGCATCCCTGCCCTACCCCAATCCCACAGCATGGATTCCCCGTGACCCCATGGTGTGCATCCCCCCAACCCTGCAGTGTGCATCCTCCTGACCCCGCAGTGTACAACCCCGGCCCCACAGCACACAACACACCCCCCCCAGCGTGACGCACTTTCCCTCCAGAAGCAGAAGCACCACTCGGGGGCAGAGACGCGGCCATCCTTGGAGGTGTCGCAGGAGTTGAAGAAGGCGCGGATGCACACCTCGTACTTGTCCAGGTTGATGGCGGCCAGCTCGGCCGCCTCCAGGAAGAGATCCTCGCTTGTGTCCAGCCGGGCGAACATCCACCCCACCGCCTCCTTGCAGCTGGCCGCCACGCTCCTCTCCAGCGCTGCGGGGCAGGATGCGGCCCATGGCTGCCCAGCCCCACCAGGGACAGTGCCCTACATCCCCTCCCCGCATGGCGGGGACACGTACCGCTGGCGGGGCTGGCGGGGAGGCCGCCGGAGCCGTTCTGCTTGGAGTTCTCCCGCAGGAGCTGGAACCAGTCGCGCAGGCGGTCACCCAGGTCGGCCAGGTCCTGCCCGGTGCACAGCTCTGGGGAGGGTCCGGGGGGCGGCATCAGGCCAAGCAGGGCTCAGGGACACGCCCCCAGTGCCCCCCATCCCACTCACCTTGCTTGCTGTCGCCAGCGGGGCCATGCGGGGTCGGGCAGGGGCACTGCCCCTCGCACCGCACCGTCAGCTGCTTGCTGGCCAGGCACGCCTGCTGCTCCAGCTTGCACTGTGGGGCGGCAGCAGGACGTCGGCAGGAGGGGGACATGGCACAGTGTCCCCCTCCCCACGGCAAGGTGCCACCGTCCTTACCGCCGAGCTGTAGGTGTGGCCGGCAGAGGCACAGACGGCAGCGAGCGTGGAAGGGCTTGCAGCCCCCATGCCCCTTGGCACCCGGTGGCTTGATCCTGCGCGGGGCGAGGGGACAGCGCTGAGCCCCCAGCTTGGCCTCCCCCCCAGCCACCGGCTCGGCCCCAGCCCCGCCGCCCTCCTACCTGTGCTCCAGCTTCTTGCGGCTGATGCACATGGCACGCTGGTAGCCCTGCGCCGCGCACACCTTGTGCCGGCTGCACTTCACCTTCTGGCAGGGGTCCCTGGGGGTGTCCAGGGCTGGGGGGGCAGAGAGGGGCCGGGGAAGGTTTGGGGGGGCAGGCAGGGACTCCCCTGGGGGAGACCCGGCAGCGCTGGCCACCAGCCGGCCCGGCACAAAGCACCATTCAGGCTGCAGCTGGGCAGCCACCTCGGCACCAGCTGCCGCTTCCCGGCACGCACTGGCCCTGCCACCGCTCCCAGCCGGAAGGGAAAAGCTGGGGGGGGGTGCGGGCAGAAGGTGTCCCCCCCTCCGTGCCAGCTGTCACCGAGCCCCCCGCGCCCCATCCCAAACCCATCCCAGCTCCATTCCAGTGGTACCTTCATCCCCGGGCTGGTTGTCCTCCCAGCTCTTGATGTAGTCATCCTGCAAAGCGGGGAGAGCCTGGATGAGCACAGGCAACGGGAGAGGTGACACCAGGCCAGGCATGCCACCATCCCGCTTGGGGCCACCAGCCTGGCGAGGCTCCCCCTGCGCACACTTGCAGCGCGCGCGCGCACACACACACACCCCCCCCACCCCCAGGGACTCCCCATGCCAGGAAGGGAGCAAGCAGGGGTGGGGAGCAGCCTCCCCCCAAAGCGGGCTGCTGCCAGGGCGAGGCAGCACTGGCAGCCCCTCAACGCTCA